AAAACTCCACCCTTACCAAAAATCTCTTTCCTCTATAAACTATTAGTCGGGCCCATAATAACATGGGTATCTATAGGTCACTTCCTCTGTACGAAAGATTTCACTTCAGTAGAGCCAAACCCCTAATCATATCCAACACCATAGTAAAAAGTTTCAAAATCCCTCTTCATTATAAACTCTTCAGAGGTAAGAAATCCAGTTGGACGACATATGAGTGAGGTTTACGATGGAAATGAACCCAAGCTAAATATTTTGTGTACCTATCCAAGCAAGAACAAGAAGACCTAGTAGGAATGCAACATAATGTAGAACGAGCTTCTAAAGTATGGGTCTTCACTAACACGAAGCACCCCCAAAAATGGCCCTAACTCTTAGAAAAAGTGTGAACAAAGGAACTTGTTACATAGCATAATAAGCACTTGATCCAGGATATTATACCTAGAGGTATGTATTACAACAAAGAGATAGAAAAACATCCAGAAGGAGGGTTTCAAAGACTAACATTCAGCCTCAAATTGGAACACCTTTATAAAAGCCCAAGCATCAAGATGCAAATGGGAGGGGGCAACCTTCAGAAAAATCAAAACTTCCACCTCAAACTCCGATAAGGGGAACCACATGTTTATCCAGGTGAACAGGAAATCATAAAAAGGAATGGAACACTCCTCAAAAGTGCTACATATCCTATTATCTTATTTTACAAGAAGGACTGAGTAACCTGTGGGGCGGTCGACCATAATGTTAGTCACATTTACGGCCGCCAGATCACTTAAAATAGAAAGAGTTCCCAATATCTCTGAGTCCACTCAACTATATTTTTTCGCATCATTTGACTCCATTAACGTCCAATCTTTATTTTTTTATAAATAAATCAAAATTACAATGTTTTTGTTGTAGTTATAGATATTGATTAAATTAAATATCATTTTTCTTTTTAACACAAATAAAATCTCATACTAAAATATAATTTTTATGTTATAAAATATTTTTTTTTGTTTTTAAGAATTATTTTATATATTACGTTTGTACAATAATTTTATTTATTATTTGTAAGTAATAAAAAAACTATCATAATCAATTGAACCTCAGTTTGACCCAGTCCAAACCTTTAAATCTTAAACCCTTACCTACATCAATTTAATCTTCAGTCATATTTTAATTATATTGGTTTCTAATTCTTTAATCTCCTGATCTCCTCCTTTTAAGAGTCTCATTAAAAATAACATTTGTGCATATGATAAATTTTGATCCTTTAGGATCCATCTTCTACAATTTGTAACCATTCTCCGCTTCATGATAACAAATGAAGATACACTTCAAATCTTTAGTAGCAACTTTGTCTTGTTTGATATCAGGAAACACCAAAGTCCCAAAAATCTTCAAATTTAAGTAGTCTAATAATTTTCCACTCCAAACTTACATAGGTGTTATGAAGTTTATTTCTATGGATGAATGCCTATAAATCAAGTAAGTTGCTACAACAAGTTCACTCTAAAAACTCTTTGGTAACCTAGCTTTAAGAATAATGCATCCCACGTTCTCAAAATGGTTATATTCATGTTTTCTCTTAAGCCATTTCATTTAGGTGTTCAAACAACGGTTCTATGACTCTTTATACATTATTTCATGCAAAACTCATTAAATTTATCTATAATAAACTCTAGGTCATTGATAGTTCTTATTACATTTAAGTTAGTTTTCAATTGATTTACTATAAGAGTATACCATTCCTTATACCTTTCAAAGGTGTTACTTTTATTTTTTAGAATGTAGACCTATATTCTTCTAGATAAATCATCAATAATAGAAAGGAAATATAATCCACTCTCATGATTTTCCACTCTTAAAATCCATAGATTTGAGTCAACCTACTCAAAAGCTCTACTAGACCTATCCACACCACTCACAAACTTTACCATGTGTTGCTTTCCTATATCACAATTATCACAAAATTTTAATTTATTTAATTTCTCACTCCATAGCAATTTTTTGTTTAGCAATTTCAACTCAACCGCATTCACTAACATGACTTAATCTCAAATGCCACAATTTATATTTATCAAGAAGGTCTTGAAGAGCTATTAATACATAATCAATAATAGCAAAATCATCTAAAATATAAAATGAACACATTTTGGATCCTATAACCATTATCAATGCACCATGCAAAATTTCCAACAACTCCACATTCAATTCTAGTTTACTAGCCTAGATCATCAAACATGTTTATTGACAATAAATTTTACTTAAGTTCAGAAATATACCTCACATTTCATAGAAGGAACTCATGACTCTTAAGCATTTTCAGTCTTGATAATGTGCTATAAGTGCTCAAATTCATGTTTTGCCTAAAAATAGTCTAAGGAGGAGTTTGTTAATATATATGGATTAACTTATTTTTATAAGAAAAATGTTAAGATATCATATAAGTTATTGAGACATTTTGGCTTCGTTATTCAATTATCCACGGGTGCGTGATTTATGGAAAAACTCCATTTGATTCCATATTCTGTGTTATTTTTTAGGAACGATTCATATACGGATTGTATGTTATTTTGTATAAATATATACATGTTTTATTTTCAAAATATTTATTTTTTTTCTAAATTTTTTATGATTTGTTTTGGAAAAATTTATTTTGTTCAAAAATTACTATGCTAAGGATTTAGTTGTGAAAACCTAACGGGTCTTCCAGGCATATTGGTTGTGTATAAAAAGAGGAAACAAATGGGCATAAGTGGAATTTGTAGTGGACATTTTGCTGATTAAGAAATAAAATGTGTCTAGGTTGTATTTAATTATGTCTATATCATTTTCTATCATTCTTTGAGAGATATAGTTGTGCTTTTTCTTTCATGAAGTTTACCACATACTTATTATTGAAGACTTACATACACTTTTGGGAGAATATTTTAGGAGAAGTGAGGGGTATGAGATTTCCGAAGAGTCTGAGTTAAAATTTATGGATAGTATTACTAAAAAAGTTTTGAATTGAGGATAGTTTAGATAAGACTATTGTAAACTATTAACTAAAATTTATTAATGTATTTCCTTTCCACTAGACTATTGCCTTTTAGATGTTGGTGAAAATTACACCGAATCGAATTAATTTTTTGTGTCTTTTATTTATTATTCTGTTTAACTGTTTATCTATTATTTCCGACCATCATATCTTACATGTTAATTCAATATTGTATGTGACATATTTTTTCTGATCAAACTAAATGTCAAATATGATTTTTAATTTTCAAAATGATTTGATGTGATTCAACTTAAGCATGACAACAGGGCGGAGGCGGGTTTAGCTAGCCCCGCACCTGCACCCGTCTTCATGTTACATACCTGTCTCTGTCTCCAAATTCAGTCGGGGTGAAAATTTACCATCCATACCCGCCCTCGATGAAAACGAATTTGACTGCACCCGTATCTGTCTCCACCAGTAAAAAAATAATTTCTTTTAAATAGTAATAAAAATTAATAATTTTATTAAAAATTTGACTATTTTAATAATATACCTCTTTTTAAAGATGAGAGTTTGAGCGAATGGTGAAAAATAACTAATAAATTTTTTTAATTATTTTTTTAAAAGTGAATAAATATATAATAAAATAGTTTAAATATGAGTATTAAAATAAATATTATAAGACTGGACGGGACGATAGTAGGTTTAAGACGGGTAGTAGCATCTCCCCGTTTCTGCACCCGCAATTATAAACCAAAATTTTCTCGCACCCGCACTTAATCAAATCAAATTTTCTCCGTTAATTTCGGGTCGAGTCGACAAGCCCCCTAATTCAAGCTTTCAATTTCATAGCAAAAGATATTTTGCAACCCACCTAATTAGTGCAATCTTTTTCTTAAAAGTTGGAAAACTCCCGCATGCAATCATTGACAACACATTGATTTTGTCATAACTTATTTAAAAATTCCGTATAAGTTCATAAAGAAGTTAAATGTATTTATGCAAAGACCAACACAATAATTGAGATTAAGTAGGAATAAGTTATAATTAAGAGCAAAACATTTTGGAAACCTAGGCTTAAAATTTAGGTGAAATTACTTCTTCCGTCTCAAATGTTTTGGACATGTTACACGAATTAAAGAATTTAATTATTATTTTATAAGAAAGACAAATTATATACGACTTTACCGTAATACTTCTCATAATTACACAAAAGAAAAAAATTAAAAAAGTTACACGAATAAATAATAATAAATACTTGAAGATATATTAAAAAAATGTCATTAATATTATATTAGAAATATAAAGCGACTTATAATTTAGAATAATTTTTTTTACAAAATAACTTATAATTTAAAATAGAAGGAATATTATTTTTTTTGGGTTAGATTTTACTTATTTTCAGTTAAATTTCGAATCATTGTAACATCCTTTCGTTCTAAAATCGAGGGCCAATACCAAAAAAAAAGTTGTGCAAAAAACCATTACTCAATTTTTACTTTGAACAAAATTTCTAGGCATATAAACTAAACGTTAATCAAACCTTTAAAATAGACAAAATAGAATAAACTTTGCATTATTTAACTCATACATACATTATAAATATATTAAAAAGTCAATTGATCATAGTTGCTAGATCTTTAAAAATGATTGATTTTTATTTTAAACACCTTCAAAATACCATTTATGAATAATTGTGACATATTACAAATACAACTTTTTACTCTCACAATGCATACAATTAAACTTCTTAACTAATTATATATTGATTCATTATTTGGTTTGGAAGAAGGACATAATAATAGCTAAGGATTCTTCATTTGGTTTGGAATAACAACAAAATAGGTAATATATATATATATATATATATATATATATATATATATATATATATATATATATATATATATATATATATATATATATATATATATATATATATATATATATATATATATATATATATATATATATATATATATATATATATATATATATATATATATATATATATATATCATACTCTCGTGACCTTAAATCAATTTGTTCTTCCATTATCTAGGGATGTCACTTCAAAATCTTGAATAGCTACAAGTTTTGCTCTTCCACCATACTCTTTTGGGAGAATCTCTTCCCCAACTTGATCTATGAACTCTTTTCTCTCATCTTCATTGTTTATAATTACAATCTGTATGAAAAAAAATGTGAGTTTAGTTTTAAAATATTATTAATATAAAAAATTTTATACTGTCAATAAATCTCAGTTTTATATATATATATATATATATATATATATATATATATATATATATATATATATATATATATATATATATATATATATATATATATATATATATATATATATATATATATATATATATATATATATATATATATATATATATGCGGCTTTTAAAATATTTATGACTAAAGTCGTCGCATCATAAAATTACAATACATTAATTTTAAAGTTAAGATAATGAATAGGTACCTTTTCTTTTGTTGTCTTATCAAGGAACCCAGAAACCATTCTCCAAACACTCACAAAAAACCATGGCATGTGTAAAATATAGAATTTTGCTAAACGTTCAGGGTAGTAACTCTGCAATTCAACCAATAATCATTAAATATTGAGTTGAAATAAATACAAAAGCATGGTTTTAGATATTTATGTTAAACATGAATCTATATATATATAAAAAAAAAAAATAGAAAATAACCTGTAAAAATTGAAACCCAGTAGTTAAAGCACGCGCATCAACATTCTTATAAGAAATATTCTGAAGATCAAGAATTATAATCAACTTTTCATTTCCTACTTCACGTTCCTTGAAAGCACTGAAAACAAAATGGTTTACAATATCTCGCAATTTACTCTTTGATAATAACAGTGGTAGTAAAATTAGAGAGTACCTCGCAATGGTTTTGTCGAATACATGTACAATAAATTCTGAAAAAATAAACAAACCAAAAGAGTTGGCTCTAATTAGAAGTAGTAAAATTAGAGAGTACCTCGCATATACTAACTAAATTCTTGTAAAAAGAATACATGAAATGTTTTGTGAATGAACAAAATTGAAGCAAAAAATTACTCTTGAACTGATTGTGATCTTTGGAAGGAAAATGTCTGTTTGCTTGAACAATCATGAGAGGAAACTTATCTTGAGACAAACCCTGCAAAAAGATCTTTCTACTTTCCAATTCATCACAAACTTCAAAGGATGAAATCAATCCATTAGGAACCAAACTATCTCTCCATTTACGCCATTGAACAAACATCTTTGCTGCGTTATCTGATTCCATTGATTGGGCAATCAAAAACCTCATTAGTGTAGGGTTTCCGTAACCCTACAAAAATCAAAATAAAATAAATTAATAAATTGAACATTGAACACAACTTAATAGTTCAATAAACATAAATAAATATTGATTTACCTGTGTAGAAGAACCATGTTTTGCAACAGAGTTTTTCATTTGGGTCAGCATCAAGTTTCTTTCTTCAGCCATTTGAGGTAGAAGAAAATATAGTGTGCAACTTTTTTATAATTTTAATATAGTTTTCTAAAATTGAAAAATGTTGTGATACAAACCCAATTGTTTGTCTATTTAACAATTTTCTTAATGAAATAATTTTTAAGTCTAGTTAATTAAGTTTGGTATACCTTCCAAAAAAAAACATTCTCACCCAATCTCATTTATATTTATAAAGACATTAATGTCCGTGTGAAGCAATGGGTTCTTGTGGCAATCATAATTTTGACATAAATCTGAATTAAAATATTTTAGACATGTTTATGGGTGCGGATTGCCCCACGTATCTGCTAATTTAAACCGAATCAATATATAAATAATTTGAATTTGTTTTTTTATTGATATATTCAATCAAACCTATAATAATTTGTATAATTTTGATTCGAGTATGGGATTTGAGTTTTGTAATTGACAGATCTGTTGAGTCATCTAATTGATGTGATTTTAGTAATTTTTAATTATTTTTATTATTATTTTAAATAAAATAAAAATTAATATCTCACTAATAATTATAATTTTTCTAAAAATAATTTATTCTCCACCAATAATACTATTAAATCATTAAATTTAGGTAATTCGAAGATTAACGTTGTCTTCTAAATAAAAGATTAAATTTGTTTTTTATTTTTTTTTGTAACATTTTCAACTTATGAATTTTATGAAAATAACGTATCAAGTGTAAAGTTGTGTTGATAAATTTTATTAGATATTATATGATATGTTTTCATCGAATTTAAATATTATAAGTGAGTATGATTGTATTGAGTTATCTTACATTTTTATAAACCGACAAAAAAATAATCTTTATTTGAAACACAACATGCGAACTCAAGCCAACCAAACTCATAAATAAACGGATCAATTTGGACAAAGAAATTGTGGGTTGGACGACGAACCCAACTCATTAAAATTTGAACGGAATGAGTAACATATTAGACCAAACCGACCTAACCCAACCCATGTACACCCTTAAAATTGTTCGGAAGTAAATCTCCAATAATTCATACAAATAAAATAAAATAAAATAAACTCACAATAAAAAATTTATTACTAACTTGCAATTTTTGGACGAAAAAATTGCAAATAATTTCAACAACTATTCTTGAACAAAAATATAAAAAATCATCTCAACAACTATTTTTGGACGAAAAAATAGAAAATCCTCTCCACCATAATTTTTGTATCGAAAAATTGTAAACCCTCTATAGACACATAACTACCTAAATCTCCATTATACCCAAAAGACTAGAATTGTTGCGGTAAATAAAATCAAACTAACTCTCTATATTCATAATAACTTTTTACTCTTTTTTTCTTCATATTACTCGATCTGGGACTTGGATGAGTACCCACTTTAACATAACATATCTTCTCTTCATTCAAAGTCTCACATATTTTCACTTCATAATCACCTTCATCCTCACACGTTAAAAGACCGTCTACACAACTAACCATGTTTGTAGAAGGGAGCACTTTTCAAATTTTCTTTCTTCTTCTTTATGTTCCGCACATCCTCTATAAATTATGGACATCTAGATTGCATGTGACCAAATTATTGACAATAATGACACTTGACAGAACTCATATCTCTTGTTTGAGAACTTCTACCATGTTGATCACTATAGTTCTTTTTGTATCCTCCTTTAGCTACTAATACTTGATTTTCTTTAGGGGATTGATCAATACCCATCATTTGTTGACTATTCTTCAATGATTTCACTATTTTATCTAATTGTAGTGTGCTCTTCCCTGCTAACATTGATTGCACTAATGATTTGTAAGATATGGATAGTGAAGCCAACAAAAGTAGTGTTTACTCTTCATCTTTGATATCTTCTCCCACATTCATGATTCTAGATACACTACAAGAAAAACACGTTTTAGATGCAAAATTTTAGCGTCGGCCCCGACTTTGACACTTCTAGTGTTGACTTTATTAGAGTTTGGCCTAACACAACCTTGCAAAACCGGTTTGTAAGGTGAGGGGTGCCACTATATATAAACTATTTCAATGCTCTATCTCCAACTAATGTGGGACTTTAGGATCTTCCTAATACACCCCTCACGCCCAGCACTCTTTTTGGGCTTGGTGCATGCGTGGATTTAAACAGTGGGCTGCCCAAGGTCCGATCGATAGGCTCTGATACCATATTAGAGTTTGGCCTAACACAACCTTACAAAACCGATTTTGTAGGGTTGAGTTAGGCCCAACCACATTTCTTAACATGGTATAACGTCATGAATATCCGTCACCAATGGTTAAAAATAGTTATCTTAATTGTATTAATAGGCCGTATTTATTAGCGTCGACTTCAACTGACTTTAAATCTATATTTATTTAATTGTATTTACAAGAAATCTAGAGACGGTCTGGACCGACGCTAACGTATAACTGATTTTATGTATTTATTTATTTATTTATCTTAGTGACGGCTCTATGAGACGCTAATATTGATGCGAAAATAATTCACTTTTCCCATAAATTATGTTGCCTCTTTTATTTATAATTTTAAATAATTTTTTTATGATAGCGACAATTTTAGACGACGCTAATATTGGTGCCAAAAAAATTATTTCCTCCCAAAAATTTCGTTTGCCACCTTTTTTAGTAGCGTTGATGTAAGTCGACGCTAAGTTTAATGTGAAAACAATAGATTTCATCCATATTTTACCTTTTCTACTATTTAACTATTTATAATTATAACTTTAAATAAAATTATAAATTATTAAAAAACTAAATAAAATTATATACTAAAAATTAATTTTATAAAATTCCTAACTTGAAATTTTTTTATCATTTTAAATTTTAAATTAAAAAATTTAAACTTATAAATAAGATAAATTTATTTTATTATTTTAATTAAAAAATTAAATACCAAAACTTAGTTTATGATAGAGTAAACTCCAATAGGTATGGTTTGAAAGATGAATTTGTTGGTGGAGTTGAATATTTTATTAATAAAGCCATGAATCGACCAAAAATTTTAAATGAGGAAGGGATAAGGTGTCCTTGTGTAAAATGCATTTGCATTCCCCTGAGACGCCCAGTGAGGTTAGACATCACTTATACAAAGATGATTTTTTGCCCAACTATTACACATGGTCTGATCATGGAGAAGAGAATCAGAATGTAGACTTTGATGGTCATTCTAGTAGTGGCAGAAATGCTGGTAGGAATAATCTGGGTGATGAAGAAAAATTTGATGCAATGAATAAAATGGTGTATGATGCTAGTAAGCAATTTGTTAATGTCCCTAATGTGAATGCTAATATGGAAAACGAAACAGTTAGTGACGGCGAGGTACCAAATGATCAAGCTCAATGATTTTATGATGTATTGACCTCTGCAAACCAAGTCATTTATGAGGGAGCTTCTAAATCCAGACTATCTATTTTAGTTAAGTTGTTGGTTGCCATGTCTAATTGACATGTTCCTCAAAAGGCCATGGGTTTTTTCACCCAAATACTTATCGATGTTTGTCCATCAAATCAATGCTTACCTAAAAATCATTACCAAGTGAAGAAGTTGGTCTCTAAGTTGGGATTGGAGGTTGAGAAAGTTGATTGTTGTGCGAATGAATGCTTGTTATATTATAAAGAATATAACACTTTAACTCAGTGTAGAGTTTGTGGGGCTGCTAGGTATGTTCCTCGAAAGAGTGGAATGTGAAAATACAAAGATGTGGCTATGAAAAGAATGTTCTATTTTCCAATCATTCCTAGGTTACAACGACTTTATGCTTCAAAGAAATCTGCATCTTAAATGAGATGACATCGTGAGAACACAACCAATCCAAATGTTCTGCGTCACCCATCTGATGGAAAAACATGGAAACACTTTGATGAAGTTTATCCCGATTATGCTAGTGACCTCATAAATGTAAGATTGGGTTTGTGTATTGATGAGTTTACACCTTACATTCAAGCCTCTAGTTCTCCGTATTCATGTTGGCCGATAATAGTCACACCCTACAATTTCCCACCCGAAATGTGCATGACCAAACTATACATGTTTTTGACTTGTCTTGTACCTAGACTGTACAACCCAAAAGTTGTCTACTTGCAACCTTTAATTGATTATTTGGCGCGCTTGTGGAGAGATGACATTGTGACATATGATATCTCTATGAAGTAGAATTTTGTAATGAGAGCGCATTTAATGTGGACAATCAATGATTTTCCAACATATGTTATGTTCTCTAGATGGGGGACACAAGGTAAATTAACATGCCCTTATTGCATGGATAGTACATAGGCTTTCACCTTAGGATATGGGGAAAAAAATATTGGTTCGATTGTCACCGTTGGTTTTTACCAATGGATCATCCGCTTAGAAAAAGTAAAAAGAGATTTACAAAAAAACAAGATAAAGAAAAAAAGACCACCATACATGTTGACCGACCATGATCTCTAGGAAGTTGTCCGTGATTTTCCAAAAGCCAAGAAGTGACTGGGCCACAAAATTTCCAGGGTATGGGAAACATCATAATTGAATTAAAAGAAGTATATTTTGGGGTCTTCCATACTAGTAGGACAACTGGTTAAGGCATAAGCTTGACGTGATGCACATAGAGAAGAATTTATTTGATAATGTGTTTAACAATGTCATGAATGATCCTGCAAAAATAAAGGACAATGAGAAAGCAAGATTGGATTTACCTCTTAACTGTTTACGTGGGGATTTAGAGTTGTGTCCTCTACCTAATGGAAAGATGGCTAAGCTAAAGGCAAAATTTTGTTGACATCCGAAGAGGCAAAGCTAGTCTGTAAATGGATTAAGGAACTAAAAATGCATGATGGCTATGCCTCGAATCTTTCTAGATGTGTCGATGTCACCAAGTGTAGGATGAAGGGGATGAAATCCCATGTCTGTCATTTATTCATGGAGTGTTTTCTTCTAATTGCTTTTCGTTCCTTGCCTAGTGAAATATGAAAGCCTCTAACTGAATTAAGTCATTTTTTTTAAAGACTTGTGT